TAGAATAAGTACTCGTCTTGCCGAAAACCGCTAGATTTCGCTTGTTAGCAGGCATACCGCGAAAAAATAAACTTTAATATCACTTGGGCTTTCCTGAAGAGGCGACGCACATAAATCGAACGGGCGCTGGCTGTTAACTAGTGATGCGCAGCCCGGAATTTAGGTATTGGCATAATTGGACCCAGCTACATGAGGGCAACCCAGTGACATTACTAAGCCGGGATATCCAACACTAATAGACAGGCGGACTAGATATTCTTGGTATGGAATATAATTTGCCACAAGCGAATTTTTGTCACATTCTTATTATAACGTCTTTCGACACCAAAAAATACCTTTTTTCAGCATGAACAAGCTGTTTCCGCATGGAATCGATTGCGTTACTCAGTTTCATAATTTTTCTGTCCTGTTCATCAATTTCATACTTCTTTCGAGTTCTTAGCAGCTTCCGAATATGATTCAGCATTTTCTTCGGTAACGCACGTTTATATACTTTAGAAATCTTTCTGAAAGAAAGTTTGTTTCCGAAAGGCTGAAATTTATGGTAGCTCTTGAGAAAGTATGGTAATTAAATCAAACAAATGTGCAAAAATCGCGAAAAGAAATTCAGCAAATTCGCAGCTAAAATTATCTGCTTTTCAGTTCTCAACGATTAGAACCACAACTGGAAAGCGGAAAGGGAAGGTTAAGAAGAACCGCGTCGGAGAAAAAAGTGAGATTTTTGCTCGAAACGTGTGATGCTCATTTGAGTTTAGCTGTAAGCCAGAGTGGCCAAATGTATTAAGATGGAATAATGGTATTTGATTTATAGATGAAGCATAAATGCATTTTAATGGACCGAATCGTTTAAATGTCAGCTACACTATTATTTCATGTATTCTGTGGGTTTCAGTCCCTAGTATTTTCAATATTTCTCACTATCAGTTATAGTTACTCTCTGAATAGCGCTTGTAATTTCGTTTAAACTTAATAAGTAAAGCAGTTTTAAATAAATATTACGAACTGTAAAAATATAGGTAGGTTGTTAGGGGCTATTCGGAAACCGTAAGCCATTTTTTGAAAAAATTTTATAACGAAAAAAGTTTCTGAAAATGGTTTTTCCAGGAAAACATGGGAAAAAACTTTTTTAAAAATTCTGTAAGTGTTGGGCTTATACTTGCTGATTAGCTTACTAATGACAGTAGAAACAGAAAAGATGCTGCACAAGCCAAAATGGCATTCTTTGTAACTAAATCGCCTGACCAGAATTATTTTCCTAACCGACGTTATAGCCAACTCATCACAGTCTACCGAAAACAACGTTCGAACAAAGCAGTAAAGCTAAGTACACACAACAAGATATCTCGAAACGACTAAAACTTGCCAGTTGCTTCTAACAAAAAAGTTTTTGAAGTGATAATGGTTCATTTCTAAGGGAAAATAAAAGGATAGCCAATATACTGACCACTAGCTGGTGCAACATTGTCAAGGCGTTTTAGAAAAACTGCTGTCGTCAGTTGCTTAGAGAGACAGACAGTAAATTAACAACTGTTCTAAATGTTCCAGTTAAATGGGAATTCACCTCACTTGTTCGAGTTCCGGATATGAGACATTGAGATTCTTGTGATCAGTTTATGGGAGCCCCAGAACAGTGAAACTCGAAAGCACGAATCTTGAGAAGATTGATACTAAATTGCACAATATCATTGATCCCAACAAACGAAAAATTCTAACAAGAACATGACAAAATCGAAAACTAGTGAGACAAAATAAGTTGACGAGTTGATTCTTGTACAGGCCAACGAGAATGGAAGTGAAGTAGCTATGGGAAACATGCGTTTTCTCAGGCGAATCATTCCCAACTGTAATCAGCGTGCATTATTTTGGCAAATCATTCCCAACTGGATTAGCCCAGCCAATTACAGGAAGAGTCGGGATTTCCTGGGAATGTGGCACGTGCCACCATCGGTAGGCTTTTGTGCTGCAGGTTCGTGGGAACGGGATTCATATTAGCATTGTCTCTAATTTACTGATGGTGGGAATCAGTACTTACGTACATTTTCGAATAATTTACTTGGATTTCAAAAATTTTGAATTTTCTTCATGTATTTTCCATAGATACTCAAAAATTAGAAAGTAGAAACCTTGCACGCATAATCCTTCTAGGGCTCATATGCGGGCGCGTGGAAAGCTGACGTAGACAATTCTGCAGTTTCCCAAACAAAAAACAGCTCGAGATACATCTTCCAGACACTACTCCGTTATACAAATTTATGTGCAC